TCAATGGGGGTTTCTTCAAGATGCTGGGAGGGTAGGGTTTGCTCAAATGGTTGAGAGGGTATTTCATTGAGGTCCATGAATGGATTAGTTAAAAGTTGTGTAGGATTGAAGATCAGAATTCATATCATATGTTGGAAAAGATGGATTTGTAGTTTCGTATATTTGGTAAGGTGAATGTGAAGGTGAATGTGAAGGTTGTGGTGCCTGGGTTACATTTGTAGTAAAGGTAATATATAATTCTATACCTGATTGAAGTTGATTTGAATCATGGACGTTGAAGAGTGTCTCGACATCTTCATCATCGTTCAACTCAACACATGTGTAGTTGCTAACCCCTGGGCCAAGTCTAATTGGGTAGCGAAAATTTATGGTTGTCACCCTTTCATTTTCGTCTCGGTTTAGTTTTGTGTGGATGACTTTCTTGAGCCTTTGTAGAGTCACTCTTCTCTTTAGATGTACTAATTTGGCTAATGGTGAGGTGAATATGATTCCTTCATTAGGACATTGATTAATGGCACCATTTGAGTGAACAATGACATAGATTGAAGACATTTTTATATTAAAGAAAGTGAATAAGGAATAAGCATAGAAGGAGAAGTTAATGTACTAATAAGTGAACAATGACTAGTCAGTCACACTCAACATTGGATTCTCTTCTCATTCAAACCATCTCACATACTTCCAAACAAGCTTTCTCTCCTCCAACCAATAAAGATGCCTTCTGACATTCACGTAAACTAATAGATAGTGACTAGTCAGTCATGCTCAACATTGGATTCTCTTCTCATTCAAGCCATCTCACATACTTCCAAATGAGCTTTCTCTCCTCCCAACCAATAAAGATGCCTTCTGATATTCACGTAAATAAAGAGATAGTGACTTTTCAAGAATCAAATGCTACTCTTTGGCACCAAAGTTAATGTATAAATATGTTCATCTAAGGTCACATGTTTTCATTCAAACTTCAATCCATCTTTCTTCTTCGTTTTTGTCTGTCTTTACTCCCATTACTAAAAATGTTGTTGTGGAAGCAAAATGAACACAGGTCCGCATTCATTGGAAGAATAGTAAGTTTTACACATTACCATTATTTACTTAATATATTAGTCAATATTTTCGTATAATATTATTAATTTGTTAATAACTGCAGGAAACTGAAAACATTATTTCATCTTTCTGTCATTCAATGCCAGAACTCAATCCTCTAATTGTTCCTATGCTTGAACAACTTGGTTTTGTTGGGATTGCAAAGTTAAGGCATCTTAAGGTGGATCACGCATTGATAACAGCTTTGGTCGAAAGGTGGAGACCTGAAACTCACACATTCTATTTTTCAACAGGGGAGTGCACCATAACCCTGGAGGATGTTGCACTTCAACTAGGGCTAAGAGTTGATGGATTACCAGTGATTTGTCCAACAATGTTTGATTGGGAGGAAATGTGTCACACATATCTCGGTATCATGCCAGTTAAAGGAGAGTCACTTATTGGCTCTATGCTGAAATTGAAGTGGCTGAGAGACAACATGGTTCCATTACCAGAACAACCATCTGAAGAAGAAGTTCACGCCCATTGTATGACTTATATACTAGGTTTAATTGGAGGTGTTTTGATGCCTGACAAAACAGGCAACAAAGTACATCTTATGTATTTAGCTTTATTAACTAATCTTAGAAGAACAAAACGATATAGTTGGGGTTCTGCTTGTTTAGTTATGTTGTACAGGGAAATGTGTAGAGTCACAGAAGTTGGTAACAAAAGAATGGGTGGTTGTTCATTATTGTTAATGTCCTGGGCATGGTATCGCATTCCATATATTGCGCCAATTTCAAATAATTCACCAACATACCCTCTTGTGTGTAGATGGAGCGGGGGTAGAGTACTCAACTTTCGAAATAAACCTCACAATGATATTGTGGGGTACAGATCAATGTTTGATCACATTCAAGCTAATCAAGTAACTCTTCATAACAAAAATTTGAATTCATAGTAATTTTTTTTATCTTTTACATATCATTTAAAGTAATAAAATTAAATTTATTTGTAGTTTTTATGGGCGCCATATCAAGACTTGCAAACATCAATACCTATGGAAGCATATAGAGATGTCCAACTGTGGACTTCATGTACCGTCATCCTTTGTTTTACAATTGTTGAATTTAAAGTAACAAAATTAAATTTATTTGTAGTTTTTATGGGAGCCATATCAAGATTTGCAAACATCAATACCTATGGAAGCATATAGAGATGTCCAACTATGGACTTCATGTACCGTCATCCTTTGTTTTGCAATTGTTGAATGACACCAAATAGATAGAATCAAATTACAGTTTCGTCTCTTCCAAGATGTCCATTCTCCACCTAATAATTTGAAAGACCTCCATAAAATTGACATGAGAGGAAGACAGGATGAAAATTGGGTTACAAGACATGCTCAATGGATCGACATATGGAACAACAGACGTGACCTAACAATAACATGTCATCCAATGCAAAGCCCATTGTGTCACACACAAGAATACATTGAATGGTACATTGCTAATTCCATCTATTTCCTATCTGTGCCACCCCTACTACAAGATCCAAGGATAAGTCACCAACAACTAAGGACTACTAACACATTTAAAATCGGTACGACTTCCATACCATCGTACCATGAGACTGCATCAATTTCTCCGAACATTACACTAGAAGCAAACATAATTAACACAAGACATTCGTCTGCAACAACATCGGAGGATTTTTTTACAAACTTATTTAGAGTTGATTGTACAACTCCATCTTCAACACAAACTTACATGCAGTCTCTTTACCAACCAAATTTTACTAATGAACCTGGTAATTCATCAACTGCATTTCAACAACTAGATCTTTATAATGATCCAAATCTTCCACAAGTTCATCCTAAAATCCCAGAGCAACAATCACAACGACAAAATCCACCACGTCACAGACGTCGCCCTCGTTGTGGAACTAGTCATCATTACAGAGATAGTTAATTATTAATTTTGTTATGAATTTGTTATCATTTTTATTAATGCACTTTATCTTCATCAATATTACCTTAGTAATATAAAAACGTCAATTTTAAAAAATTTGTTTCAAATATAAATAATTAACTTATAATTTAATATTTTATTTACTTAATAAAAATAAATTTTTTACTCTAAATTAAATTTTATTAAAAATTATAATAATACAAGTTTAGAGTTTACAGTAATAAACATTGAAAATTATGATTTATATTTTAGGGTGTTAAAAATTATAATATTAAATAATATAATTTTCAAAAAATTAATTTAATTCAAATATCATTTTATTATACTAATATTTAAATATATTAACTTAAAATTTTATATTTAAATAAATAAATAAAACAATATTTAATATATTTATTATTTTTTAAAAATATAATTATTATTATCTAAAAAAATTATTTATTATCATAAATATGTAAAATAAATTTTAATAAACATGTAAAATAAATATTATTATTATTTTTATTCAATTTCACATAATATAAAAATATAAACATAATTTAAATAATAAAACTTATTTTATAATATATAATTAATAAAATATTTATAAATATTTATTTCAATAATATATCATAAATATTTATTTTAATAAAATATAAATATAATTAAAATAATAATATTTATTTTATTATATAAAAATATAAAATAAAATTTGAAAATTAAAAAAACTTTACAAAATACAATTCAGAATTCGGTTCCCTGGGAACTGAATTTTGACTTATATTTAATTACCGAAATTGCCAACAATAATTGAATCTAGATCGGTAAATAAAGTGTGTGAGGGTTTATTTGAGTATTTTTATTTTTTTTTATAATATTTTGGTAAAAATTTCTTAATTGTTTTCTAAATTAATAACATTAAAATGTATATTTTTAAAGTGTGATCGGAAATGCTCAATAAAAAATAATAAATTTATAATAAAATTACAATATTTAATGTTATTACTTAATTAAATTTGTTATAATTTATGTTTTATACATTTTAATGAAAATATCAATACTAAAAAATATAATATAACACTAATTTATATGAATTGATAGGTAAAAAACACCAAAAAAATATTTAATTTAAAAACGGCTTCAATCGGCGTGTTGGGGTTTATTTACTAAACTAATAATACTAGCTTTTTTAAAATTGTCTCTGTTTCTGTCGACAAGGACCGGCTTCTTTAGTTTTTGATGCAAAGATAATAACGCGACAAACCTCAGCAAGAACTTCATTGATGAGTTTCTCAGCAGAGGCAATAGCCTCAGGAGTACCCGTAAGCTCAACCAACCTGGATTTTAGCCCCAGACTGCAACTGCAGATACTTAATAGTGTCTCCACCTTTGCCAATGGTAACACCCACCCTACCATTAGGTATGTCTATCTTCTTGCTCGTCAAATATGAAAGTCAATCCATAACTAAGCCCAACCGGTTTTAAAAATCTAGATTTTTTCAAAATTCAGAAAACTAAATCCGTAACTAAGTTCAACTGGTTCTAAATTAGTTTTAATATATTAAAATTGGATTAGATTTTAGAAAACTGGATTTATTATTCTTATTTCTTCTAAACCCTAGATTTCTTTCTAATCTAGTTCGCAGCAACAAAGTGTGATTTGGTTCACAGCAACATAGACGCAGCAATAGAGATTTCCAGTAACAAAATTCACTTGTACTTTTTTTCTTCCTCAATTTGTGATTGAACACCTTATTTCCTTACTACAAACATGCAGTGGGGCTGCTGAAATAATAGCAATCTTAATTTTGTGAACAACCACACCAAGGCTTCTTGTTACCCTGCATGTATTTATTTATAAGAGCTGATGAGGTCATATTTCACCTCACTCAGTATCATAATTGTTTCCTTCCTCTCATGAAATAAATATTATTTTCATATTTGTTGTCCCTTTTATGGGATCCTAGACAGTTGATAAACACCCCCACCAGACACTAAAAATAACCCTTCATTGTTACTGCATAAACAGGAGCATAACTACTTTTCTTTTTTAAAACGAGTATCACACTGAAAATTCAAAGGTTAATCACAAACCTCAAATTCCCTTGCTTTTTTCATTATCTCTTTGTAGACCTTTGGTTCCCTAACCTTTAAGATGCTCCACAATATGCCACCCCCTATCTGGAATCGTTTACCATCAGCAGTTTTCTTGCCTCCACAAGCTTGTATTGCATCCACCTGCAACCTCCACACATCATTATACAAGTTTACAACATATTAACTTGTACAGACTAGAAAATAACGAAAAATAATAAGAATAAAATGGGACATTTCAGTCTGAAATTTAAGCAATCATATATCATCAATACATAATATACAAATAGTAGATATTATCACTGTGATTCCATCAAAGCATATGGCACATGTAACAAATAAGGCTTAACTGTAGTTTTTAGTCTTTTACTAATGCATGATTTACTCAAGTTTAGTCTTGTAATATTTTTTATTGAACAAAAATAAAGAAAGATACAATATTAAAAAGGGTCCTGCTAACCGGTACCCTAAGGACACTGGTTAGCATTTGCCTATAAAAAATGAGATCATGTTTAAAGTAAAATAATCCTTGTGGCATTGCACTGTACATTTAGAGAGATATTCAAATTTGCTTTGAAATTGTTCATTCCTACATTGAGGGGAACAAAAATGACCAAGGACCTGTTCATTCCTTTATTTTATGGAAAACTGTTTCCTAAACCTTAAAATAAGTTATTTTAGATTTTTTGTTCAGAAGCCAAAAAAGTATATTCCTAAAGATAAGTCTGAAAGAAATTGTATCATAGAATTGATTTTTTTATGTTTAATCAAATAGGCCCTTAATTAATAATTATCAGTTTCCTCTTCACCAGTTTGCACAGCTTAGTAATTTGATTGTGGGGATAAAAAAAGAAAACATTCTGTACATATGTATTCCAATAACTGACAACATGAAGCAAAAAATATGGACATCAACCTTCACTTTAATAAATAATAAAGTGGTTCAGCTAAGAACACTGAAGTTCAAGCAGAGAGTTGGAAGGAGCAAACTAGCATCAAGAAGAAAATCTGTAAGGTTAGAGACAAAATTGAACACATCAGAAATTATGACTGGCCATATGGTGCTTGAAAGAGTGGATAAGAATAACCAGGTCAAAGCTTGTCCAAATCTTGTAGAACCTTAACTCAACAATAAATGAACAAATAATGTGTACTCCCAACCATAACCACATTCTCGACAAAGAAAGGAAAATAATTCATGAAAAAAAAAACTATTTTTATGAAATAGAATGCACATCAAGTAGGAAACTAAGAGTGGAAGCCATTCAACCAGTGAATGAAGCCAAGAATGGTAATATTCAAAAAGTAGCCCTATGACCATGTAAACCTGACAACATTTGTAAGATTAGAACCAATATTGTGGAAAGTTGCCATCACATGAGGAGTTCAAGTGGCTAAAATAAAATAAACTAGTAAATAAAGATCATTCTAACAACTGTGCATGGTGCAGAAAGCTACACCTCAGAGTAATCCCATCAAACTAACACCAACATAGGCAATCAATCTTTAGGGACAACAAATTCCACATAATTGGGAGAAAAAAGGGAGATTGCACTACTTCTTAGACTTACGAATTCAGTATAAGCGGACAAAGACAACTAGTAGGAACTAAGACAAGATGCAATAGTAAGAAATTTACTGAAGGGAGACTGCAAATTCTAGTACAATAATACAATTAAAAGTAAATCCTTTAGCAGAATTTGATGAAAGAAAAACAAGATGGTTGGGTCGGAAGATCCTATGGGTAGATAAAATCATACCAGTTATTAAACTCGATCATCAATAGTATTAAAGTCATATGATGCATTACTATTTATGTAGTTCTTAAATTATTTTCCAATTTTCTAGTGGTCATGGTATTTCACATAAAAAAACTTACAGAAGTAAAAACAAATACAGTAAGCTTGCTTATTAAACTAACTTGAGTGTATAACAAGGTTTCACTACCTCTTTGATGAGATCACTTAATGCAAAGACCCCAAGGTAACCTACTGCGGTGTATAGCATGTATGACTTTTTCTCTTTCAGACGTCGACATGTATCTAGCACAAATCTGAAAACACAATTTGTTAGAAATTCAATCAGCGGGCAAGAAAGCTGCTAAAATTTGTTAATGTCACAAACAGAAAAAACCTTATACCCACATTTGATTTACTATAGGGTGGAGAATTGTATACTATATGGCTTAGGATAGCAAAAGAGTAGCAAGCAATGCTTCAAATTCTATTGGGTCAAAATGTAAATGAGCTTATTAAGTAATCAGCAATGCTTCAGGAATATAATTATTATTGGATAAACCATGATTTAAATAACTGCAGAATGGTTATCAAATCAAAAGATAATAAAAAAATCATAATTAATTATGAATTCAATAATCCTACATAACAAAATGTAAAGAACCACATAAACTAGTAAATATTATACACAACTACAATGTTAGGTCTAATTTCAACTGCAGTTTCCAAATTTTGGGGCTTGGTGTTCCTCATTAAGCACCGGGTGGAGCTCCACCTCTTCCCCAACTATGGCTTTCCCCTTGGCCTTAGCATCACTTGTACTTTCATTATCTTGAGATCAGGGGAGAAGTTAGTGTCATTCCTTTCACTCAGACCATCTCTTCCTCTAAGTTAAACAGGGAGGACAGGACAACATGAAAAAAAATGAGACAACACTGTTGCACGAGGTGAGAGGAAACAAAGAAAAACAGCAAAAATGAATAGCCAAAGGGATCAGAACTGCATGTTCCAATTGTTTTTGAGCTGGCGATTTCAGTTCAGGAGAGACTGTAAAGCAAAGAGCTTTGAGCAGAAATTGGACATGGAATGTATCCAAAAATTGTCTTTTTTTGTGGTTTCACTGTCATTTATTTGAATGACATCTGTGAATAATGAGTACCATACTCCAATAAAAAATTAATTTCAATGGTTTACTACACCTTAAAACTTAGGCAGTATAAGGCACATGAACTAAAGTTAAGAGGTTAAATCATATTTCCCCCAAAATGAATCTATTTTTCTAATTGGGAAGAATGTTAAACCTGTTTATATCCACAGGATTAGATCCAGAACTCTTCCTTTTTCTCTTATTCTTCTCCTTGTTACCCCTATGCATGTGGTTCTTACTGTTAGGTTCTTGATTTGCTTCATTGATATTTTCAGCACTGCTTTGTCCCAAAACATTTTTGGAATCAGGCTCCACCAATTCTCCTTCTTCAACATCAACCATGTCAACATCATCACCCACATCATTGAAGTTATCCTCATTTATGGCATCCAAAATGTTGTCTCCGTCCTCCATTACGAAACTTGCATTCAAAAGCCATTGTCAATAAATAGATGACGCGCAACACATCCATGATGGACACATAAGAACACAGTTATGAGAAATAAAATACAAAAACTATAATCTAAACTACAATAGACACAGAACTATAAACTGAAAAGAAAGTTTTCACATTTAAAAGAGAAAAGCAATATCCATTCATGTTGGATATTTAAAGGAAAAGAAAGATTCTTAAGAATGAAATTGCTGTGTAAAGTCGTCTTTTATTATTGAACTAATGAAGACTTTAAATACAGCTGAAGCTCTAAAACTGAAAGTACGTGAAAATAGCAAATACACATGAGTTACGTTTACACGTTTAACCACTTCCTAAAAATCTGAAACGTGCTGACTAAGTTATTTGAATCATTCAAACAACACTAAGTAAAACATCAAATTTATTTAAAAACAAAAGACAGCTAATAAATGCTAGCATGGATGAAATCAGCAGCAACTAAAGTACAGCTTCAATAATTCAAACCCTAACGGTAGTACATGTGCATTCAAATAGAACAAGCAAGTTAGAAAACTATTGAATTTAAAAATTTGGGGAGCACAAAAGGTTCGTACACAGAAGAAAAACTAAATCCAGTGAATTGAAGTTTACTTACTGTGCAAGTGCAGAGGCTGAGGAATGAAGTAGTATAAGGTGTGAAGAGTGAGTAAACAAGCTTGCATGGGTTCTCTTGAATGCACAGGAACAACTAAAATATAAAAAATTATGCATTTACTTGTTATAAAAATAAACGTTTAATTTATCTAAAGTATCCCTTGCTTCTATGTTACAATGGATATTATACTAATAAATTTGATAATTTAAACTTATTTTAGTTCATTTATATATTTTAAATTAATTTAAAAGTATACTTTTATCGTAAAAAAACTGTCTGTTAATTTTTTTACATATAATTATTTAAAATGTAATAATTAGTTTACATAAATAAAATAAAAAAATTATTATAATTAATAGAATAGATGGTGCATAAATGAACAAAAAATTTAGAAGAAGAAAATAAAGAAAAATTTCCAAACCAAAATAGAATAGAGCAAACATTTGTATATGCTCTGCATATGAGTTCAATAAATATAAATTAAATTTATATTTTCAAGTTCATGCTAACAGTTTGTGATATTAATTGTACTTATAATAGTTTTATAATAGTTGTATTGCGAAGTTTCTGTTATGGTAAAACCAGTTGTTATTACATGGAAAGCTATTGTAGACTATGACCTCAAGCACTCTCTTCCACCACTAAATGATTCTATCCTTCGAGCAGTTCAGGTACTTGTCATTTACTTATTAACATTCACGTTGTTTTGACCTAAGATTGTAACTGGTTACTTAAATCTCTTTAATATCTGACTTATAAAATCCTTCACCTGAATTTTGTTAAGCGTGAGTTTTATAAAGTTGGAATTAGTGATTTTGAAAACATCTTAAAATACTTATCTTACAACTAGTAGTTCAACCATGAATCTAAACGTGCTATTACACTTACAATCTTAGAACAAGTTATGATTGTTTTCTTCCTATAATCTCTTTAGAAAAATGATGTTGATGTTCTGATAAATGTTTGTTCCCTTTGGGGGGTTTAAATTGCAGGCTGCTAGAAAAACAACAGAAAATGCTATAAACCTTCCCCGTAAGGATGAGCAAGTGAGCAAAGCAATAATAGCTGCAAACAAGGCTGCCACTGCTGCTAGAGTTGCTGCAGTGAAAGCTGTTCAGAACCGAATGGGTGGAAAATTTTGCAATATTGATGTCTAAGAGCTTAGATTTTAGTTAGCTTATGTTTGGAATTGTAAATTTTTGCTAATTATATGTATTTGGAAGAAGATGCCCGCCCGGTGAGCAAAAGCTCATTGGAGGTAGAAGAGTATGTTTTGATGTTTGTTTCCCAACGCAACTTAAAGTAACTATTAACTTGCTCTATGAATTGAGAAATATTGAATGACCACCTTTCGCAAAGAGCTGCGAATCTGAGAAGTGTTGGAGGAGCCACTTACATCTATGTGTGAAATTTGCGAATTTGCGAAATCTGCGAACTGAAAATCTGTGAAAATCTATTGCATTAGCAACTTCAATCCATGTGTGATTTAAAGAAAGGGGATTAGGGTTATTGTAATTTAGAGAAAAAGGACAAAGTTCTTAAGACAAAGGGGATTAACATATTGCGTGAAGTATTTCAGAGGGTCTGGGCCAACCCATGGATAACCCAACCCTGATCTATATACTTTGGATTATATAATTTAGAGCTTAATTATTATTTTTTATTTAACACAGGATTAAGGCTGGATGAGTTTTTTCAGGGCGGGCTGGGTCTTGGGCTATAACTCTGATTGACAACTCTAATTACAATACACAAAAAAAAATATCTGACTGAGCAATCTTAATTATTAAAGAGAAGCATGTGGAAGAACAACGTCAACAGCTGTATTATAAGTTGGAACAGTCCCGAAGGAGAAACGTGTCACAAATAAGAGAGAGCAGTTACAGAATAGATATAGATATTTGGGGAATGAAGAAGTTATGTATTTCATAATGTCTTGTCATAATGTCTTGCTTTGTGCTATGAGTTATGACATGAAATAACAGCAAACGAGACAAGGACTAATGCCCCCACACATAAGTTGGAAAACAGACCCAAGCATGGACCCCTTCAACCCCTCCAAGCAGTTATGTCCAAATGAGGGTCCCAATTCATTATTGAGAAAATTTTGTTCAATAATTTAAGATTTTCTCGAACTGTTAAAGCCTATTTGACATTTTGGCCATTCTACACTTCATTGCGTTTGTGATAAGTTATATTATAATGCTAAAGGGATAAAACAAATATCAAGAAACTTCTTTGCTTTCTATTCTTTGCAGTTTCCTTCTCCTTGTGATTGTTATTTGCAGCCCAGAGAAAAATTGAGACTCACAAGATGAGAGAGATAATAAGTATTCATATTGGACAAGCAGGAATTCAGGTGGGGAATTCATGTTGGGAGCTGTATTGCCTTGAGCATGGAATTCAGCCTGATGGCATGATGCCAAGGTACACTGTTCTCTGTGTTGTTTACATGAATTTTGTATAGGGTAAGTTGTAGCTTTATGGAACTGGTTTGAATTTTTAGGCCTTTTGCCGTTGGTTTTTTTCTTTTCCTCAAATGTGTTGTCTTGGATATAAGAAAGTTTAATTTGATTGATTTTCAGCTTAATTTCGCTCTCTTAAATAGTATCCTTCTTGTTTAACTTCTATTTCAGCGCTAGCTATTGTCAATTTGAACTTCTGTTGCTATCTGCACATAGGGGTGGTAATATCCATACAGATCCTTAAAAAAGGTGATATAAAAAATCATGTAGTAAGGCATTTTCTACCTATGAGAATCCCTTACTTTTAATTTCCACATACAAAGGTCCATCAATTGCAGAGTTAACTTATATTTAGAGCTATATGTTAAGTGGGGCAAGGAATTCAATTACACCAGGATATTGCTTGTAACGTGGGGTTAACACACTGCCAAATTGGAGAAACTAGGAATACCTCTTCAATTTGTATCAACATTTTACGACTCTATAATCTATAGTTATATTTCCTCGTATATTTAAACTTATAATTGCTACCCTAATTGACTACCTCTGAAGCTTCAGAAGGAATTTATGTACTACTACTACTTTTCTTCATATTTTATATTTTATACACGTGTTAAACCAGATGGTTGATTTATTGTGAGTCTTGGTAGGAGGTTAGTGTAAAACAATTTGGAGTCTAAATTCATATTGAAATGATATTATCACCTTTTAAGCTTCTAATTTCTCATTACCCTGAAAGTAGAATTTGACTTTTTACACATCCAATCAAATTGCTTTTCCTTTTTCATTTGGTACAAATAATTCTCATTTGTATCTGCACGCAGTGATAAGTCAGTTGGCATTGCACATGATGCTTTCAACACCTTCTTCAGTGAGACTGGATCGGGCAAGCATGTGCCAAGGGCATTATTTGTTGATCTGGAACCTAGTGTTATTGATGAAGTAAGATCTGGCCCTTACAGACAACTCTTTCACCCTGAGCAATTAATTTCTGGCAAGGAAGATGCTGCTAATAATTTTGCAAGGGGACATTACACTGGTAAGTCAATTTCTAATGCAAGTCAAAATTGGCTATTTTCTTCCTTGTTTAGCTAGACAGGGTCACTTATTGTGTATATCTGCTGCAGTTGGAAGAGAAATTGTTGAACTATGTCTTGATCGTATCAGAAAATTAGCAGACAACTGCACTGGTTTGCAAGGATTCTTGGTTTTCAATGCTGTTGGTGGTGGCACTGGTTCTGGTTTGGGATCATTACTTCTGGAACGATTGTCTGTAGATTATGGGAAGAAGTCTAAACTTGGCTTTACCATCTATCCTTCTCCTCAGGTATTGTCTAAAGATCATTCTAAAATAAGAATGAAAATAAAATGAGCTGTTTGTGATGAACAATACACTTGCTAACATCGTTCCATCTTCTGATTTCTGGTCTTTTACTCAGGATAGTATTCCGGTAAGAAATTTATTTGTGTCTGACTAATCAAATTCAAATGGAAAGAAATCAAGTGATATGTATTTGGATGTCCCCTACTTTATTTTTTAATACTCTAAGATATGATGTAACATTGTCACAAAAGAAACTACTTGGTCAGCTTATATTACTCGAGATACTTTCCCATATGTTGCACCACATTCTTCTGGGTTTTCTTAATTCATGTCGAATGCATTGCTTATTAATTGTTTATATGTGTATATTATTGTTGAGAAAAGTGTTAGAAACATTCTCTCTAACACACTCTCGAGTATTAGTTGAAATTTATTAAAAACTACAAAATTAATGGTGTTTCATTAAATTAGGAGTGAGACCCACATAATTTATGTTATTTCCAATAAATTTCAATCAATAATAAAAAATGTGTTATAGAGCATCTTGCTAGCATTTCTCTATTATTGATTATCCATGTGGAATGTTTATCATGCAGGTATCTACTGCAGTTGTAGAACCTTACAACAGTGTCCTTTCCACACATTCTCTTCTTGAGCACACTGATGTGGTTGTGCTTTTGGACAATGAAGCAATATATGATATCTGCAGAAAATCATTAGATATAGAAAGGCCAACTTACACAAACTTGAACCGTCTGATATCTCAAGTTATCTCTTCCTTGACCACTTCCTTGAGATTTGATGGTGCAATTAATGTGGACATTACTGAGTTCCAGACTAATCTTGTGCCATACCCTCGTATCCATTTCATGCTTTCATCTTATGCTCCTGTAATATCGGCTGCAAAGGCCTACCACGAGCAGCTATCAGTTCCAGAGATCACCAGTGCTGTTTTTGAGCCATCAAGTATGATGGCTAAGTGTGATCCAAGACATGGCAAGTACATGGCATGCTGCCTAATGTATCGTGGGGACGTTGTTCCCAAAGATGTAAATGCAGCTGTTTCAAATATCAAGACAAAGCGAACCATTCAATTTGTTGACTGGTAATTAGACATCCTTGGAATATAATATTATTGGTGATAGTTTTAGACTACGTTCCTTGCCTAATGGTTTTGTTCCTTCTGTTGTAATTCTAACTGAAAAAAAAATATGATAAGTGATTTTGATGAAGAATTTCAGGTGTCCTACTGGATTCAAGTGTGGTATCAACTACCAGCCTCCAACGGTGGTACCAGGTGGTGATCTTGCCATGGTGCAGCGGGCACTTTGTATGATAAGCAACAACACAGCTGTTGCGGAGGTTTTCTCTCGCATTGATCACAAGTTTGATCTCATGTATGCTAAGAGGGCATTTGTCCACTGGTATGTGGGTGAAGGAATGGAAGAAGGTGAATTCTCAGAAGCCCGGGAGGATCTTGCTGCTCTTGAAAAGGACTATGAAGAGGTTGGAGAAGAAGGTGAAGAAGACGAAGAAGAAGGAGAAGAATCTAACCCTGGTTATTGAAACTAGTCTATCCTTCATCATCTGCTACCTTACCTATGTCTCCCTTCTCTTCTTTCTCTTCCATCTATGGCTGTCTAATGTCTGTCCTCGTCCATTGTTTTTAAGAATCTTTCTATTGTGTGCTGCTAGCTCTGTTCTTACTATTGTTTCATGTAAAAGTGTTGAGTGAGACAATTGCTTTCCTCATGAAGAATGTTGATTTAATTTTCATTTTGATTCACTTGCCTGTGTATGTACAGAGCTAAATAAATGGTCGAGTCGAAATGCTTCAAAGTTCCATTACTTTAAAAGATATTAGATTTTTATTTTATCTTTTGTAATAAGTAATAGCATATTTAAATGATAACAAACAGAAAATAAGGAACAACAGAGATAAATTGGCTGCATATTATTTTCTGCCAGTGGAAGGATGGTTAGGTAAAGAGTTCAATGATAAACTATAATAATGTCTAACAAAACTTTTAAATGGAGTTTGTCCATCTAAAGTAGCCACTATTTGTTATTTCATTGTATTTCCAATATAAAAATCACCCTTCATTTGCTGCAAAACCACAGTAGGTGTTGTCAACACAATAGTATGCAAGTCACTTCTGCTGTGCTTTGAATGAAAAATAGGCTGGTGGAAAATGAAGAGGAGGAAATGCTAATGTATTTTGCCTCGATATGAAATACATTATCATGTTCTACCTTCATATTCACTCGGACCAATCACACCTTCCCATAGTTCATGCAGAAACACACCATGTGGATAAGGAGAAATTCAGTACTTCAAAACCAATTGTTTGAGGAAACAAGTTGAAGACCTGTGGTTCTGCTTCTACACTTCCACGTTAAGCAACATAGGTGGAACATATTGTTACGTGGTCTATGTACATAAAAAAAAAAATCAGGTATATTTATTTCAAATTTGAAGGTCTAAGCAGAGTTGGAGAATGCAAGATTTTATCATAAACCTATCATAGAGTTTGCCTACTTCGTACATGTTGAAGTCTCACGTCAAAAACAAGTATGGCTAAAGTAAAATTTATAAAGAGTAAAGCAATCCTCATCTTATAAGAAAACTTTTGGAGTTGAGTTAGTTCAAAGTCCAAATTTAAGAGTATAGGACTAAAACTTTTTTACTTTTCATGTTAAACGCAAAAACAAGAAAATTTATAAATGTGATGATGAAAATTTCCGGCCTTTGGTATTGAACCGTAGTGAAAGACTAGTAGTCTTACATGCCATGAATACTATTATAGTGGTGTTATATATCATGAAGCAAAAGTCTTTTTGTTATTGAACTACTTGTTTGGTGAAAAAACTCTCTACTCCAGGCTCCTCCCCAACTGACACATTCATTTTACTTTTTACTTAAGAGAAGGCTCAGATGTGATTTGTCTCCACCGATGTTCTATAGTGCAATAAATCTATCAAATCTTGTTGCTAGTATTAGGCATAACTCAATAAAAAAGTTTAATTTACTTTTAATATTGCACTAGGAAAGTCACAAGGTCAAGTAGATAGTACTAGGAATGTTGTGAAACGAAGTAGGTTGTATTGAGAAATTCTTGGAACTAGTTAATTGCACTAAGAAAATTCAAGAAGCTAGTTTTTTTTTTTTCAACGATTACGATCGACTCTAATATTATTTTTAATTTTGATTTAAGTCTTAACTCAAATCTAAAAACTAGCTCACAAAGTGAAGATTTTTATAACCTTTATAAGTTCTACTTTAATCATATTTGTAGTCAAAGTGAGAATTCAACACACTCCCTCTCAAACTCAAGATTAGACATTGGAGTATGAAAATTGCAAGATTTTTGTTTTTGCTTTAGTCTTGCATTGGGAAAGTCGTAGGGTCAGGTACGTTGCGCTGAAAAATTCACAGGACCAAGTAAATTATACTGAGAAAATTTGTAGACGCCAGATTTTTTTTTTTCAGTCAAGATTGGCTTAATATTAGATCTACAATAGACTCTAATATTATCTTAAATTTGAACTTATGCTTAACTCAACCCAAAAAGCTAGCTCCTAAGGTGAGAATTGTTTTATCCTTTTAGTTCTACTTTAGTCATATCTGTAGTCAATGTTAGACTAAAACCACTAAAAGTATTTTTACTCCATTTTTTGGTAAATATTGTGCTGAATTATTCCATGAAGCATGCCCTTAAGAATGGTTCTTTATTCTTTGCTTGTATTTTATGCTGGCGAGTTTGATCTTGAATATTTCGCATCTAGTATTACTGGCCATGAGATTTGTCTCTTCTTGCAATTCAGAAAGACTAACAGACATTCTTCTTAAATACAAACAGCCACTTTCAATGAAGTTTCTGTCCTTATTTCAGAGTTTTGCAATTGTTAACATCTAGTTGGTTGTTTTAGAGCAATTCTTGATAGTTAAGTCTCAATGTAGTCTTCACCAGCCAAATGGAAGTAAAGAGAGGATAAGGATCAAGAAAATAGAGTATTAAAAGGGTAGCTTCTGGGTCCACAAGACAGGTGAAATGAAAATGATGCTTTTGAACTGTTAGCAAGATGTTACCTAATCCTTGGATATGATGAGTAATTTAATCTTAGTCCCATCACTTAATGTCCAAATAAATAAAAGATTCCACAGTTAATCATTTCTATGATGGTTCACAGGCTTCATTTCTATGATGGTTCACAGGCTAAGGTTTAGCACATGAGAATGAGACAAGTTTTAAGTATCCATAATTGATTGGGGTAAATGATCATAGCCAAAGCAGATAACCAAAAGGCATGAGTTATGCAGAAACATTGGACCAAAATCTAAGAAGATCCGGAAGCATTTTTTTTTTATTATTAATTACTGACAAAGCAAGCATAGTACTTGTCTCTTTCATGTATAAAGGAAATTTGTGTGTGATTCTACTGTTTATCCATGTAAAGCAACGTGAATAGTCATCTGGATTTTGCCTATAAGGTCCAAGATTCCAATCTGCTTATTTTGCCTCCAAAGTCTAGATTTTCAGACATATTCCTAAAAAAGGGACTTCAAGATTCACTTTTGACATTAGGGACGCAAAAAACATAAATTCTTAGAATTTTTACATAATAATGATTGAAAAAGAGCTTCCACAAGCAGCTAATGCAACTCATGGATCTTCCTGCTGATATTAAGCAGTTAGGAAAACAGAATTATATCTCGCTAAAGCAATATATGTTATTGTAACATTTCAATCAATAATTTGATCCTACACTCCTTCAAATTTCCAACAATAGGATGAAAAAAAACAAATAGGACTGCAATGATACTGTGAAGGAATATTTGTAGGATCATTTAGACGTTCCAAGTTTTAAGTTTAACAGAACAATGAGCACAGGGGTGGAAGATCCCAGAGAGTTTCACTGGAGTCCTGAACAGTTTCCATGTACTCGTGCACTCCATTAATTGCATAGAGTGAAGCTGATATTTGTCTTTCAACTTTCATTCTGTCAAATTCTGAAAGCTCCAAGTCAACTGTATCAATCAAGCCATCAGTCTTTGGCATGTCCAATATTTGAGCAATAGGAAAACGATCAAAGACAGGTCCAAAACCCCATGAAGCATTGGATTGAGGACCTAACTCAAAGTCCTCCCTGCAATTGCTCAAATCTGGTTTATAACCATCATCAAACAGATTTGAATTTTGAGTTGTCACAGTAGAAAGAGATTTGTCATTATTGCTTGAATTACTACCAGTGCTAGTACTAGCACAACTATTGTTGCTAACTCTTGGAGCAGGTGCATTGTTAGCATTTGCATCTTCTTGTTTTTTGATACCTTTTCTGTTGTTAAGGAGATTTCGAATGCGAGAAGCAAGAGGCGAATCCAAGGAAACATGAGTAATGAAGTTGGTGCGAGTGTTGGAACCGCGAAGAAGGCATGCTGCTTCATCATAGGCTCTGGCTGCTTCCTCAGCTGTCTCAAATGTTCCAAGCCACATTCTTATCTTCTGAGTTGTGTCCTTGATCTCAGCTACCCATCTCCCTGAAGGCCTTTGTCTCACCCCAACAAATTTGTTTGTGTTGCTGTTTCTGTTTCTCCCTTTGAATTTCCCTCCTTTGGTGATTGAAATGCCTGCTTTCTGATGCTGCAGGTTTGGTCGCTGGAATTGAATTTCCATGACAAGTTTATGTTGCTTCGACAAAATGGTGTTTGAGTGGGAGAATTTACGAAGAAGATATATCAAAAAGAGACAAGAGAAGCTGAAAGTGTTTAGCTTTCACAATATTAGTGGCATGCTATTACTTAATCTTTCATGTTGCCGTTTGCAAGCTGTGAGATTATATATATGAAAAAGTTGCTAAGCTTTTCAGCCAGCAAGTGGTATTAATATATTACATGCACATCGTCTTGAAATTTGTTAATTCTTTAATTTTTTAAGAAGAATAGTTAAAACTTTACATGATGCAGACAGGGTACCCTTCAAATTCAATGCCCCCTTTACTTTTTCAACAGAATGATCGTTACTATATCTATATATGTTTTTAGTAGGCATTGCATTGCTGAAAGAGTCAAGCTTCAGTTTGGACGTATACACCAAAAAGAGAATCAAGCAATTTATGGTATGTTTTGGTAAAAAGCTTAATAAAGTACATATTCAATGAGCTTTTATCACATGAGAATTCATGACATCAATTTGATAATAAAAATTATTGGAATAAGCTAAAAAGAATTTATGGAAATCATAAGTTGTTTTCACAAGCTCTTCAAAATGTATCTTAATTTATTTTCAGTCATAGTTGTAATTCCTTAAAAGCATCATGTTTCTAAATAAGAAAAGAAATTTATCACAGACCTAATATTCTAAGTTCTAACAAAACTCTTCCCTGCCCCCTAAAATTTGCCCAGATGATTGTTTTTGGTTCTAGAATCTTCTCATAAGGTACAATATAATCCATATATCAAGCATTGTTTAACAAATCAGATATTAAATCCCACCACAAAATTATGTGGATTTCCATTCCCTTTTTATATAATTAAAATACTAAAATCTCCATTTGATAATTTAAATACAAACTTAGCAGATAGTATTGTAATGAATGACTTCTCTAAAATATATTCAAAAGAGAATTTGTTTAGAATAAAAACATATAAGGCATTTTTATATATAAAAAGAATTATTGAAAGGATTTAAATCTTCCGCATTTTTTTATGGAACTACAACCTACAATCTAAATTCGTTTAACTTAAAAAAATTGGTTTAAGTAGATTTGATAATTTACTTAAGATAAAATTGTAAAAAAATTTAAAACTTCAATTTTTTTTTCTTTTATAAATTACAGCAAATTTAAAGAACCTTTATCTAAGATTGTTTTGTTACTTCATTGCTAACCATGTTTACAAATGGTTATAAAGATTTATCAAGTAAGAATTATCATACTACAAAGACTTAAGTATCCTAGGTCATGTAATAATATAATTAATTTTTAATTAATTTTTTAAAATAATTATTCTTATAATCCTTATCATCATCCTCAATAATTTAATTCAATTATAAATTATTACACCTCAACAAATTTACTTAAGCAAATTTTTTTAACTTAAATAAAAATTATTTTTTATCAAATTCCTTTAAACAAATTTAGACTACATAAAAACTGCATAGAATCGGGAGCCAGTTGAAAAACATACAAATCTTTGTATTATTATTTTGCTTACATCTCGAAAAGGTCTAAAATCTTGCTTTTTGGGTCAATGCCCAATTTGGGAAAGCATCCTAAGGTCTACCTAGATAAAAACCAACAGTGGAAAAAGAGAGGGTTGAGGCTACCAAGTCCTTGTTCTCACTCTTCCCCTTTTTTTGGTAAGTCAAACAGTTGAAAGCATTGTGTTGAAGGCATAAATGGGTGCCACATGGAGCCTCCAAAATGATCCTTCAGATGTACCCATTAACAAAATCAACATTAAAGCCATGATTGCACTAAGGTGGTCACTTAACTATATGGCTACACACAATAATAATAATAATAATAATAATATATTAAAGATTCATACATATATCTCATCGTGCATGCTGGGTTTGTTGTAAGTTGAACCCCTCTTCTCACGTCACCAAGGGAACACTTTGTTCCCCTCCATTATGTTTTATTCATAGATTCTTCTTCATCATTCTTTCAACCAATCCCAATTATTTATTTATTTATTTGACATTGTCCTTGTCTTCTTTGTTAATTGATTGATAAAGACAATTAGCTAACCTAAAACAACAATTCAGTTTATGTTAATCATCTAAGTGTTTTGGTTATTTTTTAACAATGAAATGAAATTTGAATAATTAAATATTGATTGACACTAAAAGTATACAATGGATCTCACGATAGACAAGAATGAAGATATGGGGAGTAAGACACAAGTTTATTATATTAAATAATTTAGCTATACAACATGGTAAATGTTATCTTGAAAGATCTTTCCGAGATTCAAGTTTATGTTAGCATTAATCATAATGACCTTAACAATTCATTAATCATGTTAACAATAATCGTGTCCTTTAAAGTAGCTTGAAATTTTAAGTTCTATTATTATTATTATAAGGCAAAAGGTACCTAAAGATATCAACCTTCATCAATTTGAAACTGACTTGAATAATGTGGTATGAATAATAGTTCTAAAAAATAAAAAGTTCAAATAATGTGACAAGATAAATGAATGGAATAACATCAAATAGTCAATAGAAAGTGAAATTGCCGTAGTGCCAGAAAAATGTGACTTCTCAAGGATTTGGGTAGAATTGTCATTCAACTTAATTGCAAATTAAAGTGAAAAAAATAAAAAACAGGAAGAGTCCAAGTGCCCAATGTTCCTTACATGAACAATATTTTTCAATTCTCAAAAAGGAAGAAATTAGATGTACATTGTAGGAGATGGCTGATGTTAGATGCTTCAACTACTAATGCGGTAAAGTTGGCTTTCATGACTTTGCAATGAGAATCTTTCTCTATAAAAACAAATCCAACCTCCTTTCTAATTTTCTATGTATCATTATCCTTTACTTTCCTTGGTAGCTTATCAAATGTGGCCTTTAGCTGCCTTTTAAAGTTATTAGTAGGGCATTTAAAAATAATATAATTCTATTAACATTTGAATTTTTTTTTAAGGACCAAAATGAATTGAAAAGCAAAGCCATTTAAAGTCAATGATGTACTTAGGCTGTTTTTAATATTCAACACCCAAATACTTTCGTTGGTACCTACTACAACTACTACTAGTTCCCATGAGTTCATAGAAATTGAAAAGAGTAGCACATAGGCGTAGTTAGTGTAGGCATCATTTATAGAGACAAATACATGAATGAAAATTGATTTAGCCCCTCTTATATGAAAAGGAGTCAATATTTTCTTTTTGACATATAATAGTATACGAGCAAACTAATATTTGATTTGATTTGATCCATTGACAATGCTAAAATGATTATATATATAAAGGTGGTACCATGCATTTTAAAAAGTTTTGAAAAAATCCAATAATAAAAAACATTAATTACTACAATAATATGAAATTTATTATCAAATTTACGCTTCAAATTTTAGATTAGTTTTCCAATTCTTGAAACTACTCTTTCTTGGCCAAGGAAAGATAAAACATTAAAAAAGAAACTATTATGGACATTGGATAGTTCATTTTTTTTTTAAGAATAACTTACAAATTCTAGAAACACGACGATAAAAAAACTAACTTTCATACTCATTTTACATTCAATTTTTATTATGTAGTATGTCGTATTTTCCTATTTTATGGATTCTATTCAGATTTCATACGATGATAAAAAAAAAATTAGAAAAGCATATTATTAGAAATATCTCATCATATATTATGACGAATGATATGATAAAAAATTTATTTATTGAAAAAAAATCATTGTACTTTTATACCTTTAATATATTTAATATTTTTAAAATAAAAAATTAAAATTTTAAATGTTTAAAAGAAATATTAATGATTAAAATTAGCAACAACATTTAATTAAAGAGTTATGATATAATTATATATTTTTTTATTTTGTTAATATCAACCATTAAAACTGAGAATAAACAACTAATAATAGTAAGTATTTTTATAACTTCAATATAATAAATGTATACTTTTTTCATAAAAATTTTCTATTTATAAATATTTAAACCCAGTTTTAAGAGCTAAGATTAACAAAACTTTTTTTTTTATTTTTATTTGTATTTAAAGGTAAGTCATATATACTTTCAACCTAAGCACATCCTTTATTGTCATAAAATTGTTTTAATTTAACTTATAATTTGAGTTTTAACAATTATAAATTTGTGTCAAACATTTAAACAATTAAAAAAATTTACTAATTATAATAATCTTGTTTAACTTTAAAAAAATTGTCTCATGCAAAAGATATCGTAAATATATAATTGTGTTTAATATTTTATAAAAAAAAAACTATATCGTTTATAATAATTTTATTCAATTCAAATAAGATTAATTGATGTAAAATATATCTATTATTTAAACTAACAAGTTGTAACTAGATACATAGAATCAAAAAGATATTTCAGAGTAATATTAAAATTGAGTTAAAACCAAAATAATACTTACTTTTAGTTCAATTTTAATTCAGTAAACCGATTCATTGAAATAATTGATATCATAAAAATACTTTTTAAATTTATATTTAAGAATATACAATAAAAACTAATATATTTTGATTTTTTTATTAAAAATTACATAATATCATTAGAATCAATTCATTAACATTAAATATTAATAATTTATTTATTTCTCTGTTGTGTGTCCCTTGACACATATTAAAAAAACTGTTATAAAATTGTTTATATATAAGAAGAACACAATATATAAAAATCATTTATGAAATCTAGAAACCATTTATGTATAAACAACGCGAAATCTACAAAAAGATTCTGTCTTTTTCAATTAAAAAACTGTATAACTAGTTCGTTTGATTTTACGTCGTTTAAACTAATTTAATCGCAAATCAGATTATGGGACTAAATCAAAACTTGTACGGCTATTCGCACGTTGAATTGAACAAGTTTAGCCAAATAAAAATCACCCTTTAAAAGATTTCACTCAAGCTTCAACACTCCATGAAAATATGAAAATATGGAGTATATCAGGTTACAATTATCTATCAAAACTTAAATGTATGCTTCATTCAAATGTACTTTTTCATAGCTAAATTATGAACGGTAATTTCATAAATATATAGGGAAATAAATGCATCAGTTTGGCTAGTGTAATGAATTCAACAATAGAAGAAGCAAAAAAACGAAACAGTTATGCAGATTTCTTTACTTTCATCTCCTAATAACTCGTTTTTAGAGGAAAGGAGTACAGTTGTGCACCTGTTACTTGATTTTAAAAGAGAACTTTTGTTCCAACTATTTCAGTATAATAATTTTTACAGCTAATAGATAGAAATAAAAGAGAGAAAAATATAAAGTAAAATAAATAAATGATAAAGAAGGGAAAATTAAATTACATAATATATACAAAATTATGGAAGAATAATATAGAGCGTTTTCAAAATCCTAGTTAAAAAATAAAATCATAACTTTTGAAATAATCAAGTCTTCATTTAATTAATTAAACTAGCCTAGTAGATTAGTCAACACTAGTTGCAGTAACACAAAATAATATGGATAAAAAGTATTAGGCTGATTAGCAGATTAATTTCTTAACTTTGATTTTGTCTTCATTTTGTTTTTCTTTTATTTTAGTTGCTTAACTATTAAGAATATTTTAAATAAATCATTTTTTATTAAAAATATTAATTTCATGAAAAAATCAATGTTTAACTTCTTTTTTATGAAATATTACTTCGTATAATATATTTTAATCAATTTTTTGATTGTCTTTCTTTTTTTTTTTCTTATTTTCTTAATTTTTTTAATCTTTTATTTATACTTTCATGAACTATTTCTCTTTCTCTCTTTAAACTCTAATAAAAATATTTTTTTTCTACTTTTTCTCTTCTCCTTTGTCTATACTCTTTCTTTAAACTTAATTTCTTTTTATTTCTAGTAAATTTTTTGGTTGAGTCTTAAATTCATCATGTCAATAATAAAAAGGCTTTAAAAAATTTTCGCTGATAAATATTCAAACTCAGTATATTTCTCTTCTTGATTCGTTACTTTAATACATATATATTTTTTTTTTATAAATCAGTGCCTTAATTGATAAAAATTAAAACTCTATTTTTGTATAGAAAGGATTAGCAAATCCATAAAAATGGTGAGTCAGATGTTGAAGAATTTTGTAGACGAAAATAATGTGTCATGAATTAAGGCGTATATATACATATAGAACAAAATATAAAAAATTAAAAGACAAAATTGAAATTAAAGCAAAAGTCAAAGAGATTAATCTACCTATTTAATCCGTATTACTAATTAAAGCATCAAAAACTGTTTCGACTAACTATAGCACCAAAAAATGTTTCAACTCATTCTATATGTGACCGCAGATAGAAACAATCCTTACCTTTTGTACCTGTAAACACTCCTCATTATTAAATGTTTTTTAAATAATAAATGTACTTTTCTTTTAATATTTACTTTAGTAAACGTCAACGGTAAGAAAATTATTTAAAAGATTCATAGAAAATATAAAACTCATTTATCAATATCAGTGTGGCTCATTAACTATTCGCAGGCATCTTATGTTCAACGTTTTAACTTATATTCACCCACTTAATTTCAGGCATCTAACAGTTTAACTATACTTCATTACTTAAAAGGAAAATAAATTGTGCAAATCCAAAACATTAGCAACATCATGCTATACAAAATTTGTGGTTATGTGAATAAATAATTTCCATATTTTTTATTTCGAAATTTCCCAAAACGAAGTTGGGGCATGGGGGAGTAGGCTCACCAAAAACGGAAGGGGGAAGAACCCAGCGGGTATACAATTTAATTTGACCCAAAAAATGAAAAATAAACTGTGACAAATTGTTTCCCACGACCAAAGAAATGACTCATCAAAACTGTTATAAAAACAAAAGAATGCTATGCGATTTTCCTGAGTCATGCATGACTCAGTCACGCCTCGTCCCCATCATCCAGACAGGATCTAGTCACCGTTCAACCTATAACACAAACTAGTCACCGTTCAACCTATAACACAATATACACATTCGACACCAAAACTCTGGTTCTCATTCAACCTATTCAACACTGCTCTTCCTCTGCAATAAAGCCATACCTCAGATATGTCCCGGTGGCATGACCAAATATGGATTCAGCAATCAAAAACTTGACCCAGACGCAGCTGCCGACCTAAAAAACACACAAATTCGACCTGACATAGCAGCTTCTCAAAGGGCAACTATGACATCCCATGACAACAGAAGCGCATTTTCTGAAGGTGATGAAACATAAACACAATCCAAAATAATTAGGACGATAGGATAGACTGAAGTGCAAGCTGCTGCTGGGGCTGCAAGGATGACCAGGTTGAAGCAAGGGTAGAAGGTGGCAAAGTCTGCTGAAGCTGCCTCAATAAATTAATCATCCGACTGGCAGTTTGTTCGGTTGCTAGATCATTTCCCGCACATAAAATCTACATCGTAGTTTATGCACAACAAACAAATTTTAGAAGGGAAAAGGGAGTGGAGCTGAATCAAACATCAGTAACTAAGAGAACTGGCATTAAATACCTCCGCAAAAACTGCAACAATTTTGGGAAGATATTGATTGTTAGGACCTATAAGTTCTCTATCTGATCTGAAATTGAAGGAAGTGTGTACGAATACGTATGAGGAATATTAGAATCAATAGGAATCAGGAACAAGAGGCAGCACATTAGGTAAATAGCTCAATCAAAACGTTCTGGAGCAGAATTCTACCTTTCAACCATTGAACAAAGTTGGTCATGCACAACCTTAGCCTCAATTAAATCACCTTTTATGGGCAAGCAACTTAGCCAGGCAGGAAAAACCTGATACCAAGCAATAAAAAAATGCAAGTTAGAAATCACACACATAAGCAGAGGAATTTTGCTCTAAACTTCATTTACACAAGGATTTTGAGAGTCAGAATCTTATCCTAAAACCAGGATTTGCAGCCTAGAAATTTCAGAGAACCCACCAACTCCAATTAATAATAGCAATAAATTATGAATAAAAAACCCATCACATAATTGTGTCCAAGTCCTCTGGCATAGAAGAACCAGTTACTGGACTGGAATTGGAGTTTTTATAATGCGAATGACTTGGGCGGGCAAAGTCCTCTCTAAGTGTCTCAAGAATATATTAACTACACTATACAAAATTAAATTTCTATCAAATATTTACAATGAATAGCAACAACTACCATGCATAGTAGTGCTAATCTCGAGTATGGAATTTTGGGAAAAAGATATCTATGGTAGTCAACAAGATCATTATTAAGTTTGTGTATCCAGAATTACAAAATCCAAAGTAGTTTTTCCACCACAACCAGAAGAAAGGGGGGGGGGGGGGTGCTGCCCAACGAAGATCAAGTAATTCCATGCAGTCATAACTAACAAGACCAACACTAACCTAACCAGTATGACTAGCCTATACTTTTCCAAATGACAGTATGAACACAGGCAAGATTAAGTAAACATGAACAGCGCTTTAAGACACAGCAGAGACATGGAGCACCAAAATGCAATGTACCTGTGTTGCATTTATACTATCACGGTGGAACTGGCATATTTTTCCAAGAGCTGAAACAGCATTGTCATATGCCATTACATTATCACAATGTAGTGCATTTGGATGCCTTATCACGGCATCTAACCTTGAAAGTGCCTCTGCAATAGAAAAGAAAAGTTAATTAAAAAATGTATAGTGAGGCACAAAAACAAAATAAGCAACAAAAGGTATTGTGCAACTAACCTCCAACAAGGGGTTTGAAAACAGATCCACCAAACTCAGCACAAACACCAACACCATAAACAGCTGCCTGTAAAGACATTTTATTTTTGTTTTGCACAATGAGAACCTCAATTACGTCTCAAAACTGAATAAGCAACATTAATATTAAGTAAAATGAGTAGAGGAAAAAGAACCTGTCGAACATCTGGATATTCATCATTGCAAGCTTCAAGTAAGAATGGAAGAAAAGAATCATAATACCTGCAGCAATACAAAGTAGCAGCACTTAAAATATAGAAAAAAGTCATTCAGACTACAGGGAATAAAATAATTTTGAGCATGAAATTACAGACAATCCACATAAAAACAAATGAAAACTGGGGGCAACCTACAAGGATGAGAGGTTCTTACTTAAGAGCTGCTTCACGACAGTGCTCAGCAACATCATCAAATATACAAATAGCAATTCTCCTTTCCTCTGAGGTTTTATCTTTACCCTGATTAATGATTATCAATAGGGGAGAAAAAAATTGGATCAGGAAACAGAATAGCAAATGATTATCAATAGGAGAGAAAAAAAATGCAGCAGTCACCAAATCCCAACAAAAGAGAAATAAAAATTTAAAAAGGACATAATTTCATACAGCATTTCAGGAGGAAGTGTAAAAGAGGGGTACAGTGTGTTTTACTTTTTGGTTTGGCTAATTACACAAAAGAGAGGTGAGAGAACTAATGCCTTCATAGGAAAACATAATAGCTATAGACAAGATAGTTATTCCTTCAAATTAAATGCTTTAAGGTAAAAGATTTGACAAGAAAAACACAAAAGAAAAAGCCATGAGGGAAGAGAATACCAGACAACTTTTAGGCAAGAACACCAAGAATTTAAAGACTCATTACAGCAGAAAGAGAAGAAACATTAAGCAAGGAATATAAAGGAGCTTACAAACATAGGTGTTATGTACGATGAAAGCTCATCAAAGAAAGGCAAGAAAGAGGCCCTGAATGTTTTTATCAATGTCCCCAAGCAATCACCAACCTAGAACACAAAATTATTCAAATAAGAGCCATAACAACATGCATAAAAAAGTATTTAATGAAAGATTCAGATCACAAAAACAGATATTACTGAACATACTTGATCAAAAAGCTCCTCTTCTTGCTCATTTTCTTCCTTGAGTAGTTCTCTTTCTTCAGCATCAAAGTCTTCTTCTTTGGCCCTCTCTGCTCTTTCGTGTTTCCTTGATGAACTGGCTGTAATGACTTGTTTGATCTCATCAACAATGCTCCTCACTTGATTTTCATCTAGATGTGGTCCAGAGACCTGAGAGAAACAAATAGTAGCCAACTTCAGGTTTAAACATCTTAAAGAGAATTGATGACTTGAGAAATAGGATAAACAAAATCAAAAAGTGATTATAAAATAGCACAATATAGCACATCCAAGTCCAACCACGATGCAGATAGAAGTAGATAGACAGATATTGACAGAGAGGTGAACAGAGGTTATTTTCCTAATCTTCTATACAGATGCAGAATTATATGGCCACATAGAGAACCCAGAATAATTTTATTGCAGTTGCCCATTGCAAATTCAATCCACTCCAGACTACCAAAAGAATAAACAAGAACAAATTATTAAAAACGCAGACAAAATATTCAAAACAAATCAGAGTATACAAAACTCAAATTGCCATATTTCTGCTTGGATATGTCATTTCTGGATCATTATCCATATCTTTCCTTTCTCAAACCACAAAGTGATAGGAATATCAGAATATAGAATATGTTATCAGAATATTTGTGACTTGAATGGAATAACATACACAAATTTATTTAAACAAAATTATTGATATTAGGGTTGTTTGGGGTTTTCAGTGATTTAGGATTGCCTAGTATCAATCTTTGCTCAAATCTAGTATCATCATGTAACAAGTTTCAGGAGACTTAAACTTTGATTCAAAAATTGAAATTCATTTGTTTCTCCATTTCACTGTATATAAATTATTCTTTCTAGACACAGTATTACATAGCAAGATAACAGAATAGTACACACCACAAACAGAATTATCTCCCATAAGTCATTTTGGGTATAGATGTTCTCCTTCACTCACATAATTATTTGAAAGAAGGTATAAGATTGTATAAAATAGAATTGTAATTTAATTCCAATAGAAAAAATGGCTGTAATAAATCTTCCATCCCGATAGATAAACATTACAAACCTGTATGCATTCGTTTAATGCGTCCAACATGCTAGCACAAATTTCTACTTCTGGCTCCTGGAAGACAGCTAAAATATATTAATACAAACACAAAAAACTTCAGAATACAACAAATGACAAGAATAGGCAGGACTTTCACCTTGTGTAAAGCCTCCACCAAATTTGGTATTATATAATCAGACAACTGTTTTATGTAAGTCTCATCTCGACCTTGTGATTGTCCCTTCTCTACAGCTGATTTTGCCGAGGATAACAGTTCTGGCATAGCTATGAACAATGCAGACAGGTGAAATTAAAAAAACTTTCAATAAGAGCTACTGGAAATAAACAAACTAGAAGCAAGATTAGGTTCTTAAAGACTAGAGTCAAGAAAATACCTGAAACTGCTGCCTTCCTAACTTCTTCGTGGAAATAAAATTTAAGAAGAGGAACCAATGTGCAGGCAACCTAGATGAGCCCGCAAAGTTAGAAAATAAAAAATCCTGTACTGGAAAATATCAATAAAATATAAAACAAAGTCAACCTGGTCAATCCAAGGAAAAAATCCTTCCTTCAACTCATCAGCATAGCAACATAGCATGTTACATGCGGTAGCCTTCTCCTCCAAGACACTGGTCTTAATGCCTATCCTTTTGTCCCCAAGTGTGATAGTTTCAATGCTACAAGAAAAACAGCAACATCTAAGTATTAAAAAATTAATCAATATACATCCATATCTCTTCTTTATTTTCAGACCAAAAAATTGCAACTCCTTTTTCTACATTTATTCCCTTTTATTCTCTTTATATATGAGAGATCATATTTCAGGAAATTTCTTTTGCTTTACTTAAAATTTGAGCCCACATACCCTAAGACCTCCACATGTTCTACAAACTAAGACTGAAAATAACTCCTTGAAACCTGGAAAGTCGCTTTCACAAAAAAAACCATGCCTATGTACAAACATGGTAACATACATGATCTAACATGTGGATGTCTTACTCTTAACAATGATATTATCATTATCATACAAACAAAAATAAAAGAAAGTATAGCAGGACTCACAATATGTCAATTCGCCAAAAATATTTTTAAAATAAAGACAAATGTAGAAGCTCAAACACAGGAAGGGGCAGCCCAAGGAAGTGAAATGAATAAATTTTACACAAATAGATCTCATCATGTAATAACACAGATATCAATTATTTATGACATCAAATTCTGTAACAAAAACTGAAAGGACACCTGTCATCATCTTCATCGAATTCAGTATCAGAATCTGCTGACGTAATGGTAACATCAGGCTTAAGTTGTGCAGACTGGAGCAAAGGAGGCATGACAAAGCCCATATATGGGAGAAAATCCTGTCCAAGGCACTTGCAAAGCCGTGCCCATGCCTGAAAACATGGAACACAAGTGAAAAATTGAGATTTATACAAATTTTGATTAGAATGACAAAATTATATACATTCCCAAGTTCATGCCACAAACTAGTAAAAGGACCATACTTGTAACATGTAACTTGCAGTTGGATCATCAGCGTCCAGTTGAGATTGTTGCAGCGACATCAAGACATCCATAACCTAGTAAAGGAAAAATGAAAAATACACATTATGTAGCGCATTAAAAATGAATAATGAGGATAGAAAGAAAACATTAATATTACTACTTCCAGCAATACATTGGATGAAAAAAAACACAAGACAACACTCGGAACTAAATTAAAGTTCACCTGTTTGGCATCATCCCTGAACTTCTCCTTTCCAACAGCCATCCCTACCAAACTAATGCACTCCATTGCTTTGGCACGAAGCATACGATTAGATTTATCATTTGCATTCATCAGAATAGCTTTTAAGTATGGCATCACAGCATCATAATACTTCTGAAATTGCTCCTGTTTACACAATATTTATTTATAAAGTATAAAACTTAAAAGCCTTGTCATTAGTAGGTGAAGATTGGCTACATAAAGCAGCACCTGTGAAGAATCTGCAACTGATGCTAAAGCTGTCAAAGCCCCTTCTTGAACCATTTGCTTCCCATTCTAGCAGGTGGAAGAAAAGAAGAATACCATAAAATTGTAAAGTTACCATCCAAAATGCATAAAATATGAGACATGCATATCAAAATATCTACTGATCATAAAGCACTATGCAACAACAAATCAAACAAAACATCCATAAAATCGACACAATTATGAAAGAAAAATCAATAAATTTAACACCTAATGTGAAATTAGCTAAGCTTGTTTTGCGGGGAAAAAACCAAAAACAAATATTTGTCCCAGAAAATACTCTACAAAACGTTAGTAATGCTTGCACTGCACTAACTAAAATCCAATTGCAATTTAAAAAGAAAACAAATAGAGGAAAAATGCAAATCCATTTGGAGACTGAAAAAAAAAAGGGAAGGAGAATCCACAAAGTGCTATTTCTTTCAAACCAAATCAAAATATCTAATCAAGGAAAACACCATATGCTCTTCCGCAAGATATAATTCTAACTTTCTACAATTTTCCAGCCAGCTAGATATAAACAAAAGTCCAATACCTGCAAGAGTACCAGAAGTTTGCTCACAATCCCATCCAAGTAAGGTGTTAGGATATCTGGGGTACAATTCTCAGTGAAATTTAGCACCGCGGAAGCAGCATGAGCCTGCAACAAAACAACAGTCTAATTATGAAAAACTACAATAACTCCCTAAATGCAAATGAAATGAGTTGTCAAAGATTAGGAAACTCAAGGTTCATATGACACACGGCAGTTGAAAAATAGGTTGTGGGACCATATTCAACTGATGAAAAAGAATAACAGCAAAATATCGAAGATGTTATAAATGCAAAATCCAGAAAATTGGCCATTAACTATCTTAGGTCTAAATACCAAATAAGATTGAGAAAAACCTTTGCACAAAGCCTTAAGAGAACTGAGGATCATTATGACAGTAATTACGTGTTTGGCATTTATATTTGAATACCTAGAAAATATAAGACAATAGACAAGGTAAGACAAGATGATAAATGCACAAGATTGTTCTACTCATGTGCAACCGAACTCAATCATTGCATTGCACTGAAATGCCTTTTATCCAGCAGACAACGTTATCAAGGGCAAAGAAAGAGCACAAAGTAGAATATAGTAAAGCCAAATTATAGAGTCTATCTCCGCCCAATATGAATGAGTATACACAGTGGCATATAAGATGATAAGACAATTTTTGCACATTTTTAGAAAACAATTAAAAATGGAACCTAATTTGAATCATTACAAGAGACAATGCACCTAGTTCAGATAAAAACACAAACCTGTACTCGTGGGTTTTGAAAATCATCCATGGCCCCAGCTAATGCCGGCAGCACTAAGTGGTGATATCTAGCCTGCAAGTCTGGCCCCAAATCTGTGGATAATTGCCCAATGGCATTTATAGCTGCCCATCGCACTCGAGGGTGGGGATCACGAAATGAGTTCAAAACCATCGACAATACCTGCTCCAGATTCTTTATCATCACCTGCACCATCAAAGATTACCATCTAAGAGACGCACACACAGAAGTTAAGGATTCCGTTTCTTTTTTCTTTTTTTTTCTTTCTTTTTTTTTTTTTTTTTTTGCTTACTACAAACAATCACACAATGTAGAAGGAACTAAGGTTTAAAGCAACATAATGACCTAAACACACCAAAGATAATCACAAGCCCAATTTCATCACATATATAACAACTTAATAAACAATGAAAAAACAATTCTGAATACTGGGCATAGCAAAAAAGCAACAAGTATGTATACCTTGGAACAGCCCTCGGCAATTTGTGCAAGTGCAATGAGCGCAGCATGGTGCTTTTGCCACTCAGGCGCAGCCAAGTAAGTCGGCAACAGCTCAGAAGCAACCGGCACAATAGTATTCCCGCCCAAGGAAATTGAAAGCCTATCCAAACATTCCTGTCCAAACCCATAGTTACTAGTTTCACCAGCATCCTCATCTTCCGTCTCCGCCGCGTGCCACGCCGGTTCATCTTCAATATCCAGCAACAAATTCATCAAAACACCAAACAGCTTCCGCACGAACTGCGGCAGCTTTCTCATCATCCCAGGAGCCCGCTCCCTCGCCTCAGCAAGGGTCACCACAAACTCAATAGCCAAATGCCGCGTCCCTTCCTCCAAAGACTCAGCCTCAGCGACCTGCAGCATGGAGCCAACAACATCCACAATCTGGCGCCGGAGGAACCTCGGCTCGGTACCGGCGAGTTCGACGAGAAGCTCAAGCGCCTCCTGCGCGGTGGCCTCCTGGCCGGAATTAAGCGCTTCGGTCAAGGTTTGCATCATGTGAGGAAGCAAGTCCTGGAACCTGTCCCTGTCGGAGGAACTGTTAAGGCACTGAACGAAGTTGATGGAGGCGGCGAGGGCAGCGATGCGGACGTCGGAGGCAATGGAGGAGTGGAGGCAGCGGAGGAAAACGGTGTGGAGAGTGGACAATTGAGGGAGTAGGGTTTGGCCTATGTAATGAGCCAATTGAGCGAAGATGAGGAGAGAGATTTCTTGAAGCCTCGGGTCGGTTGAAGTTACCCACTGGAAGAGGAGAGGGAGGAGGTCCGGCCAGGCGGCGGAGTCATCGGGGAGGATGGCGGCGGCGAGTTCGGAAACGGTGTCACAGAGCTTTTTGGCGATGGATTTGACGGGCTCGTTGTGGAGCGAGGAGAGGAGGAGGGAGTGGAGAGAAGAGCGCGTGGAAGGGGAGAGGTGGGGCCAGAGGAATGAGTCGTGGTGGCGCGTGAGGTGGCGGCGGAGTAGGATGGCGGACATGGTTCGGATTTCGGGGTTTGGGGAAGAGTGAAGGATTTGGGCGAGTTTTAGGATAAGGGAGTCTGGGTGGGCCTGCTTGCACAGATTGAAGAGCGACTCTGCCTGAGAACGTTGCTCGTTGGAAGAGGACATGAGCTTCGTTATTAGGGATTCCAAGTGGCTCGAATCGGGGCCCAGGATTAGCGCGAGTTGGCCCTGCGTCTGGTTCGGATCGCTCGCCATCAGAGTTGATTCTTTGGTCGTTCTTGTTTTTGTTGTTGCTGTGTGTGTCTCGGATGGATGAGACTCTGTTCTGTTGAGCGATAGAGAAGAAGAAAGGGAGGGAAGACGAAATTAGAGAATCGAAAGGGTTTGAGAGAGGGATTTTAAATGGCGGGGTGGGTTGGGAGATCTCTTCTCTCAACTTCATATCCTACGGTTAAGATTCCATTTTATCCTTTCGCAGTTTCCCACTCCCATCACACTCATCTTCTTGCGTTATACCTTTTAATTAGTTTTCCCCGTTGACTTAATAATTATCATTATCCCTATTTAATTCCGCTCATTCATCTCTAATCTTGGTTCACTCTTTATTATTCATTAAATTTATGCAACAAATAGTAAACTTTTATTAAAAAAATTTACAATTATTAGTGTTATTAAATATTATTATTGTTTTCATAATAATGTCTCATATATAAATTTTTATTAAGTGTAATATTGTACAAGTTAGACAAACTATTAAAAATATACATGTTCTGATTGAATAAATTTGTATTAAAAATTTAGTATAAAGGTTTATTGTTTAGTCTGAGTAAATTTTTCGAAAATCTTTATAAGATAAAATATATTAATATATGCATATAAGAATCTTTTATTTAATTAAAATTAATTTATTTTCTTAAATTTTAAAAACATTAAAGGAGAAAGTTTCTAAAAAAAGAAATATAAGTTGTTTCTTATTTATGAAATAAATTTATTTATTTTTAATAATATTTTTTATCAATACTTCTCTAGAAATTCCAAACTAAATTTAAATATTTTTTGTTATTATATAGTATAGTTTTTAATAAAAAATATTATTCGTATACTTTTATTATAAATTTTAAAAAATATCATTTCAACTCTCAAAAAATGAGTTTAAACAATTAATGAAAATAAATTGTTATAAAAAAAATATTTGTCATACATTTATAAATTTAATAAAATCAAAACAAAAATAAAATCCTTAATATAAATACACCTTTCCCATAATTTTATGATAAATAGTATTATTAATTTTAACCAATGTCTTAAGATTAATATTAGCAAAATTATTAAGTTTTATGAAATTACCATTATCAATAATGGAGAAATTTATTTACATAAAAATAATATAAAATATCACACAACAAAAATATACGGACAAAATAACTGATTTATGTTAAAAATATAAAAAATATTATAGAAATATATTACTCCGACTTATTTATCTTTTGCCAAATGAGACGCAAGCGAAATAATATATTATTTTTTCAGTTATTTAATTAACAGGCCAATTTTATTACATAATTAGATACATGTATACATTTTTAATATTACTAATTATTTAAAATTTATTATTTGTAACATTAATCGAATGATATTTTTAAATATAATAAATTATTATAACATACTTTAAAAATATTATTTATATAAATTAGTAATTACTTTCTTAATATCAACTTTTTTTTCAAAAGATTTGCAATTGTCAAGGTAAACTTTTAAATTTTTAAAAAGTTAAAATTAGTTTTATAATTAGTTTTAAATTTTGTATTTTTTATTTTTATATTTTATTGCTAAATCTTATAATCAAATTATTTAAATCACTTTTTACTTTACAATTATTCAATTTTAATTAATAATGAAGTAAAAAAAAGTAAAATAGTCAATAAAAAATATGATGATAATAACAATTATATTTAATAACAATGATAACAATATAGTATCAGTCACAATGATAATAGTTATAGTAACAATACTAATAACTCTAATGATAGAGTAATAGTTATGATTATGCTTAGAACAATAATAATTATTATGGTGATCTTTATTATTATCATGATAAATATTTTTAATAAATTTATTTTATTAAATTAAATATTAATAAAATTAATTAACATTTATTTATTTTAATGTAATAATATTTTATCTTAATTATTTATAGAATCTAGATTAAATAATTTCTTTTTATTAGATCACCGAGAAATTAAAAAAACTAACTTTTTTAAGGAGTTATACATCAAGCTTTAAATAGACTTTTTTTTTTCGAGTAATTCATTACTTTTTCATATATTTCTTGTTAGAAATATCTTAATTTCATTAATAATGAGTATTTGATAATTACAATAATAATATTAATTAACTAATGGTAATAATAATAACAATAACAACATAATTGTTATTTTTGTTTTAAATTTTAAATATTAAAATGGTTATTTAAATTTTTTTTATTGTTTCATATAAATTAGTTAATAGCTCAAACAATGCACATGTATTTTAATTATATATATAATAATAATTTAAAATATTAACTTTTTTAAAAATTATTTTAACTCAATTCTATAATTACAAATAATATGTACTAAAATAATATATTAAGTATTAAGAATTATATATATATATATGTAAAAAAATTGAAAGTTTATAAAAATTAATAAAAAATAATTTATAAATTTAAATATTTATAAAATAATTAAAAATTTATATAAAATAATAAAAGAAAGTTAAGCAATAACTTTTATTTTTAAAAATTGAGAATAAAATTATTGTAACAAAGAAGAGTAAAATTTACATATCGTTTTTACACAAATTTATTTATTAAAAAAAAAATTAGTTAACTATGAAAGAAAGTATTTTATTGAACGCTTCATTTCTAAATAGAATACTATCATTTGTAATATTGCAATTGCCTTTTAAAAAATTTGTGAAATTTATTTTTACATTTATTAAAATTTATTATTATCATATATATTTTTTCAAATTTTTTGTAAATACACATGTTTGTATTTATAATTTTTTTCTTATTACCTTATATAAACTTTAAATTTTTCATAATATCTATATTCATGTTTATAAAATTTACAATACTTAATATATTATTTATAATACTCTTAGTGAAAATTTTGAGCAATTGTATGTTGTTAATTTTGCACATAAAATATATTTTGTCTGGTAAAAATTATAAAGTCAATTTTAGGAAGTGAATTAGATAAATTTTTTGACCAAAATATAATCCAATCATAAAATTATATTACAATGAAGTTTGGATCTATTTATAAAAAAAAATTAAGTACAACCTAATATGATCCAATCAAAAATCAATCACACATTATTATTGTTAATCTTTTTATTCAAGCTGTGAAAATTAAATTTTTAAACAATCATTTATATTTGATTAGAGGTATTAGCATGTACTAGAACTTATTTTTGCATTATCATCTTAAGTTTTTCTTGTATGGTAATGATTTGCTCTAACCATTTTAGTAAAGTTTTGAATTTTTATTTTTTTTAAAAGAACAATTCTTGTTCATTGTAAATTTATTTTTAACTTTTTTTTTTGGTATTGTGTTTGTTTGAGTGATTTCTAAAACCATATTTATCTTTTTTTTAACATTTTAAATTATATTTGCTTAACTATTTTACCTTAATGATTCTATTATATATTGAACATCCAATTCATGAGATATTTTAGCAATTAGTTAAATTGCATAAGAGTGAGCACTAATGAATGAGTTAATATCAATTTTAGGCTCTGATTTTTTAATATGATCAAAATTTATTAGAACATTAAAGACTCATTTATATCTAAACATATCTTTAGATTGTTCTGTTGATGGTTTGAGTGAGTAATTGATTTGATCGAGTAGTTTAGTGCATGTTTAGGTTCTCTAAACATTTTTTTTTGCCCTTTTCAAAGTTACCAACATTAGACTCCCTGTTGGAAATCAACTCATCTGTGTGTCTCTTCCTCACCATCAAAGCCATAACACCATCACCATACAACCATTAATGAAAACAAAATCATCAAACAATTATTGCACACTGTTGACTTAGCTACCACTTCATTATTGATGTATGACTTATCAAACAGTGTGACTAACAATTGAATGAGTTGTCACCAAAATTCCTAAAAGCACAAGTTTCACAATTAAACTCCAAAACACTATGGTTAGAAATAAGGATAGATATAGACTCTGTTAGGCTAGACTTTGATTAAATATGCCTGACCTTGCTATGATAAAATCCTTCTTCGAGGAAAAGGAACCTCTAAGCATAAAAATGCACAATCCTGAATATTCATTCCATGCCGTCCAAATAACACAATCCCTCAATATATATGAGGTATACTCATTACAACAGTAACAACTCGTAATAGAAAAGAAAGAGAATAAGAAAAATGACAAAATAACGTACGACTATACTAGGCAATATTCACATAATGAAATTATCAAAATGTTTGGGCCTAATACGTATCCTTCTAGAACAACAGGTCCTAATTGGAGTGGACAACATAATATCCTCCTCATCTCCACGGTCTTCCTCTTGGGCTAATTCCTTTTCCTCTATAATATCTTCAATAACATCTCCTTCCCTATTAACAAATGCCTTGTCCTCAAGGTGGAGAGAAGAAAACACAGTTGTGAGTTCACGGAGATTCTCCCAAGTGGCGTCTTCTGGATAAAGACCATCCCATTGTACAAGGACATGTTGTGGGGATTGGTTATCCATAGCCAAAATAGCAAGAGGCTGAATCATTGGTTGAGTTGCAGAAGTATTAGATGGAAGAGCTAACAGAGCAACATCACTAGTGCTCTTGAAAGGTTTAAGTAAAGAAGCATAGAAAATAGGATGAAGTTTGACATGAGCAGGAAGTGATAAACGGTAAGCAACTTCACTAATACATTCAACAATTTAAAAAGGGCCATAAAACCTCTTGGCCAACTTCTGTAAATGATGGCCAGACAATGAAGTTTGCTTATATAGGTGTAGTTTCACCAATACCCAATCACCTTCCTTGAAAGGGGTTGGTAGCCTATGGTTATCAGCTGCAATCTTCATAGTTTCTTGTGCCTTCAACAAGTTAGCTTTGAGTTTGGTGAGAATGGCATCACGATTGTTGAGTCAATAGCCTCTAGGTTAGAGCTACCAATACAATATTAAGGAATACTTGGTGGTGGTTTACCATACATAACCTTATAGGGGGAGATACCAGAGGATGAATGAATAGAAGTATTATAGCACCACTTGGCCCAATGGAGGTATTTACTCCAAGTATGTGGCTGGTTGTGGACAAAAGCTCTCAGATACTGCTATAGCAGTTTGTTCAAAACTTTTGTTTACCTATCACTTTGTGGATGGTGGGTCGTAGTCATGCGAAGCTTTGTCCGCCTTAGTTTGAACAAGTT